CGGAAGTTACGATATTATTATATATTTTTAAATCATCAGCAAAAAATAAATGATGACATTTAATCTCAGCCGACAAATCATTAATAAATATTAAAAATAATAAAGGTCCCAAGTTAGACCCCTGGGGAACTCCTGAAGTAGCTATGTAGTTATTAGACTTATAACCACCATATTCTACAAATAGTGTTCTGTCCGAAAGATATGACTGGAGGAGCGAGAGTAGATTTTCAGAGAATCCTAAGTTTAATAATTTATGTAGTAATAAGCCATGGTTAACACAGTCAAAGGCTTTCTGTATATCTGTATAAACTACATCAATCTGGCCTTGATGATCCAGAGTCTTGGCAACAAACTGGGTAAAACAAGCTAAATTAGATGTTGTTGACCGCCCAGAAACAAATCCATGTTGAAATTCAGCGATATGGGGCCTGAAAAAATTATAAATATGCTCGTAAATAATTATCTCGAATAATTTGCTAAAATTACACAAAATGACAATCTGACGGTAGTTCGTCATATCAGATGTATCACCGCTTTTGAAAACAGGGCATACTTTAGACATTTTCCATATTTGCGGAAAACAACAAGTGCGTACCATCAGATTGAAAATAACAGAAAGTGGTCTAGCAAGAGCGTGAATGCAATCTTTGACTATGAAGCTAGGAATATTGTCCACTCCGGAGGTCATCTTATTCTTTAATTTTCTAGCTGCAAGAACGACATCATTTTCAGTTATCATGTAAAGATTTAGACAGTCGTTGTAACCTTGCAAATCATCATAACTGTTAGGTAGATCCTGCTGAGAAAACACGCTAGAAAAAAATGAAGCAAAACCATCAACAATTTCTCGAGGCGAATCATATATGTGGTCATTGAACGACATACTACCAGGAATCCTTGACATACCTTTTTTGGCACTGATAAATGTCCAGAACTTTTTCGGATCTTGAGTTATATTGTCCTGTGTTTTGTAAATAAGCTGAATAGGCGGTATTAATCTGGGTTTTAATTGTGGATCGTAATGCTTTGAATTTGTCATTATAATAGCTATCGCCTGTACGCTTATAGTTATTCCTGGCTCTATCTTTTTTCTTCAAATTTCTCTTGATATCCCTAGTAAACCATATAGGAAACTTACGAGATTTATAGCAAGATTTAGGTACATTTTCATCGAAAACATGATGAATGTTATTATATAATATATCACAACCGTTGTTAACATCACTCACATCCTCTAAATTTAACCAATTTATGGTTGCAATGGCACTGTACAATTTAGGAAAGTTTGCTCGACGAAAATTGTATCGGGGGTAATTATTCAATTCAAATATATGTGTAATGTTGCCACCAAAAAAATCAAAATGCAGAGCAGGATGATACAGATCTTCCTTGACAAAGGGAAGACCTTCTCTAGAAACAGTTAAATTTGTAGTAGATAGTACCAAGTCAAGCAACCTTCCCTGATGATTGACAATATAATTGAAATTGCTTAAATTTGTAAAAGAACAGAAATCAGTCAAATACTGAGTTTTGCGTTCATTCATGGAACTGTTGAAACCAGGTACATTAAAATCGCCACATATGATGATATTGAATGATCGAAAGCTCTGAATCAAAGACTCTAATGCATCTAAATAAAGCTCAAAATCTCCTGTACTTACAGACGGTGGAATATAAACAGTGAATATAATAAAAGCAGAATCACAAAGAACCAACTTAAGTGCAACAGTGTTTATATGAGGAACAGCCGAATTCAAACCAGATACATCCACGGCATTAAAGTTGAAAGTACTTTTTATAGCTATCAAGGTTCCACCCCCCAAAGACAGACTAGTAACACTGAATTTTCGATCACATCTAAATACAGTATAATCCGATGGAAATAATTCGCTACTCATAATATTGTCAGAAAGCCAAGTTTCACTCAAACAAATCAGATCGAATTCACAGTCACATACAGCATTATAGAAAAGAATTACCTTCGAGTTGAGACCTCGCACGTTTTGATAGTAACTTGATATCGATAGACGTTTACAGCTAGTATCACTAGCATCACTATTGCAATCAGGTGCACGATTTAGTTTAAAGTAACTATTGTAGGACATCCACCAGCATACTTGATCTTCAGGTTCTTTTCACCTCTACTTAATCGCTCATCAAGTTCAGCCTTGACGTGTCGATAATGTTCAATTTGCTTTGGTGTTCTGTCGTATGAAACAATAATCTTTTTGAATCTGTTGTTACTTCTTATATTCTTGGACTTCTTCACAATGCTGTGAACCATGTTCTCAGAGCCAAACATGACTTTGAGAGGCCTGCTACACTGATCCGTGTACTTGCCCAGACGAATTACCTTGAATTGTGTACCTTGGGTGGAGTAGTCAGCAAGTTCTAAGATATCATGAACCTGAGCTTTATCACTTTGAATTCTTGTTTCTGTATCCTGGCTTCTGCATTCAGGCAAACCAAAGACCATTAGATTCTTTTTCCGTTCGCTTCTTTCATTAACTTCTTGGAGGAGTTCTTCAAAAGTAAACAAGCTCGATGGTGTAGACGATGTTGTTGCCCTCAATTCATTAATTTTATCCTCCAAACTAGACATCTTGCTTGAGAACTCATGTTTCAATGCTGTTATTAGAGTGTTGAGATTACTGAGGTCTCCCATCAAATTGCTACAATTGTTACAAAGAAATTTAATCGCCTTGGATTTATTGTGTGTTATTCTTACTTCGTCGGCATTGAGTCGGACACAAGTTAAATGCACCTCAGAGCGACATCCATCACATGGTATGGAGGAACCTTGTTATTCGCTATAAAACCAACAAAGCTCTCCATTTTTGTTCCTTCTTTGCATTACTCACTAAAACTTAACGTAAAAAATAAACCCCACAAAATCCATCATCAAAATGCTAAATACAGTTACCAAATCTTTAGGGAAAGTTCAATGTTTATCATTTTATGAATTTGGGTACAATGGTATAAATGTGAATACAGTTTTAGTAACTTAATATGTGGATGTTGAGTGCTAAAGGGTGTATTTGCTTTTATTAGTTATTTAATGTGTGCGGGCTACAGACGAGGGTCGGTGAAGACAAGCTTGGACATTTTAAACAAAGCTATTTATAATTAGGCTGCAAAAACGAGTTTAAATGAAATTATTATGAGTATGTTGTGTTTATTTGATTTTTATAGTATACAGAATTCCTTGCACTGACTCTCGCTTACAAATTTAACAATTATAAAATACAACTAACTAAGCCTAACCTTCAACTTCCTAACCCATAAAACGATAAAAAATTTGACTGACCATAATAATTTGGCAAACAGTTGTAGATAACTGCTGCCAGTTAAAATAAAGGCCTATTATTATTATTATTGTACGCCTATCAAAGAAAAATCTTTTTTACTCCGATGACAGCTCGTAATCATAATTGTTAGAGCCTACTGTGGACTGCAAATGTTGAATCTCCTCTTGAAGATTCCTCGAGGAAGCGTTTTCATTGTTTAAAATGCGTTTAGAGATCAATCCTTGAACGGCACTCAATCCTCAAAGAACGTCTATAAATGTAACCCAAGTTCACGGCTCGTGAGGCTAGAGAGTAGTGCATGCTGTCACAACTCCGTTACCTGATATTGACCTCCTTAACCCAACACTAATGTCGTATACCTCAGACTAAGGATAAGCCTAGATGTCTATACCAACTCCTGTCCTTTGGGCTAATTTTTATGCGCAAAAAAGGAACCTCAGGAATTAAGACAGTCGTCGAGCTCTGGAGAGCCCTCCCCCTGTGTCGGCTGAATTAAACCACCCTCCTCAGAAGACGCTTCACCGTGGGGGTATTTTTTCAGGGGTAGAAAAGAACCTTTTCGGATTTTAATAACGCACACTTCGATGTTTTAATACCGGTCTCTCTCGGATGACTGATATTGATGAGGTTTCTGTTTGGCGCAAGGCTCGCGAATGCCAGGCATTTTTATTAAAAATAAAGCCGAACAAAAATGTTTTCGATCCCAGTGTCTTCTGGAATGATAGATATATTTTTCCCACGAATATATCTTTGTGCGTTGTGTTAAGGTAAAATTAAACAGGTTATTGTTTGAAAATGTCTTAAAGTGTATCGAAGCTAAGATACGGACATTATTTAGACCAGAGTTCCCCAAACTTTTTTGTGTCGTAGACCCCTTGCCATGTTTTTCCGTGTTGGGTAGATCCTCTACTTACCTGATATTGATTTCCGGTAAATTTCTGACTGTAGTGAAGTTTAGTGTTAAAAACTTGAAGTAAAAACACATGTTAATTTATACATTTATTTATTGAATTTAAATTAAAACTACTCAAAATAAGATTTTGTATCTGTTATGTAAAATATACGTAACATTAAATAAACAGGTGACAAAAGCTGAATAGAGGGCATTTAAATGTTGAACGTAAGTTGAAACGTCGTATTCCTGGCAGCTTGTCTGTGACAAATTGGGGAACTGAGAAAATTCGCCCCGTCCAATATCTTGCTTCATTAGTTTAACTCTGGCAAGAAACGCTGATAAGATGGACTTTGTTTTAATCAAATTTAAACTGTCGCCTTGTAATTGCAAATTGACCATATTAAATTTTGTAAACAAATCTGTTAAATAGGCGATGTCTGTCTTCCTCTTCATTAAATTTTGTTTTAAAATTTTATCTTTAGTATCCAGAAATTCTAAAATAGTCTCAAAAAGTGCAAAAAATCTTGTCCAACATAAGCCTTTCGACAGCCAGCGTACTTCAGTGTGAAGGAGTAATTGATGAAAGTGTTCGTCATTTTCTTCACACAACTGCGCAAATAACCGCGTATTCAACGAGTTGCTTCGGATTCGGTTTACTGCATCAATAACTAAATGAAGTGATTCATGCAATCTAACACTCAAATTTTTAGCAACTAAATGTTGTCGATGGATGACGCAATGTATTGCTAACACCCCTGACACATTTTGTTTTAAATATCTTATAAATCCACGATAACGTCCAACCATGGCAGGTGCTCCATCTGTAGCTACTGATATTATATTTGATAAAGGAATTGCTTTTTCTAAGTAATCCTTCAAGACATGAAATATTGATTCACCTTTAGTGTCGGTTATCAAAGTTCTTGCGAAGAGCAGTTCTTCGTAGATTTCTTGATTTATAATAAAACGAACATATGCCAATAATAATGCTGCATTATCAGGTAAAGTTGACTCGTCCGTAATTACATAAGAAGCTTTCAATATCAGAACTTATTTCATCAATACGTCTTTCAACAGTATTTTTGCTTAAGGGAATTAATGATATCAGATGCAGGTTTGTGTAAAACAGTTTTTAAAACCTCTTCAACGGCTGGCGAAATTAACTTCTCTCCGATAGTATGCGGTTTTCCGGATTTTGCTATAAGTAACGAGATATTGTAAGACGCCCGCATTTCTTTTTGACGTCGAAGCGAACATTCTGTCCATTGTAGGTCTCTTCTGAAATTTATCTTTGAGTGTTTGAAAGTATTTCAAATCTTTCTCGGTTTTATCAGGGTGGCATCTTCTCAGATGATCTTGCAGTTTAGATGGTTTCATAGCGTCATTGCCCAAAACTTTGTTGCATAAAAGGCACATAGGCGATTGTTTGTCCTGCTATGATGGAATGAAGCCAAATTTCAAATAATCAACACTGTACTGTCTACATTTCTTTTTAGATTCGGACATGGCATCAGTCATCTGCGGGCAAAATTAAATTATTTAAATAAGACAGAAAATCCAGCAGCTGTATATTAAAAATATTTTTTGATTTTTCCGAAAACATTCCATAATTCGAACATCTTCTTGCAACAATTAGCTCGAATTACGGAGATTGCACTGTAATTATATTACCGACTGCTAAAACTTTCAAAAAGAAACTATTGAGAAGTACTCGTGTAATTTTGCATGATTGAATATTTAACTAATAATAACTAAAGTCATGATTGGCGTAATTTATCTATCTCTGCTAACTACGAGTACAAAACTAAAATTTAATAAAAAATAATGTACTTACTTTTCTCCAGCACTCTCAAACAAAATAACACTGACTCACTATAATTTGTGTGATATACTATCTGTTTATATGTTTTAAAATATTTCCTTAGCACTTTCCTTTTCAAGATTCAGGAAACGAATAAACGTATTTGTCCCACATTCGTATTTATAGAGTGACGAATTGAACAAGTCAGTGCAAGTTAGCGAATCTCTGAGACTGCGACTCTAAGGTTTTTACAAGTTCAAAATGTATTGCGACCACAAAGCGAATACCAACATCCTACAACTTACACAATTTTATAAACATATATAATAATTTTTTTACTTCATAGGTACTTTTATAAATAACGTATATATGTTTTGATATTATAAGATAGTATGATGTAAGTAAATAGGTACTATCAGTGTATGTGTTGAGATCCACTATCGTGGACCCCCATATTCATTTCATGGACCCCCAAATTTTTTCTCGCTGACGTAGACGCCTTGCAGGTTGTCATAGACCCCTAGGGGTCGATAAAGACCACTTTGGGAATCAATGATTTAGACCAAGGTCCCAGAACTGCCAGACGCAACACATTTTCTGAAAGACTAAATGTGGTAAATTGAGTCGTATTTACATGTTCTTTAATTGCCTGCGTACCTGATTTACAGGTACCTAGTGAGAAAGGTAAGTGAACAAGCAATGGCCGACTTTTATATATTTCTAACAGGCACCCAATATTAGGAAAAGCTTAAAATAAATCGAGCATAGGAAGAAAAACAACTATTCTTATATAGAGATAAGCAACTGAACGACCAAAAAAATAGTAGAAAAAGTTACACATTCAATGTGATCTGCAAACAACAAGCGATAGAGGAGAGAAAATATCATAGATGTTACTTATTAAGTTAGAGTTTTTAATAATGATTGAAACAGCTGATTTAGTCAAAGTATTGGTCCTAGCATAGTCACAATAAAATACTCTTGAGCTTGAGAGGCACCGTGGAGGGAATTTTGCCTAATAAATATTGACATATTATATTCCAGTGAACCAGTTTATACAAAAACGCTGTTATTAGAAAAATGCGCCTTATGTTCAGAGGAACACATTTTGCTCAATTAAGCAGGAAATAGTAATCAAATCCTGGATCAGCAAATACACCCGTACTTTTAAAACGTAGATATTTCAAAAAAGTTCTCTGAACACCCTCGATCTTACTAATATGTTGCACAATGTGAGTACAGGGTGTTTCACAACTTATCCGACAAATTTTAACCACATGTGCACTGTTATGAAAGAAGTTGGTTTCTCAAAAAAAATGTAATAAAAGTCCTACAGAAATTAAGTTATAAACCTGAGTTTCAATAATAAATTGGAAAATAAATATCTGTATTTTGCGTTCATCGTTGCGATGTTAGAACACGCATTAATAATTTATTGTAGCAAATGTTGTACCAAACAACTGACGAGAACAAAATACCAAGAAGCTTTTGGTTTTTCATACTGATGAGAACGTGTAAATAAGGTTTAATCTGTATCATGGGTGATCTGAATGAAGAACGGTCGATCTTTGTGAAGTTAAATAAGAAAGTATTGGCGAGCTTATGTTTTTAGTTATTTATTAATAAAAATGACACATGTGTACGCTAACGAGGAGTTAGTGGACATTGTTTTAGCATACGGAGAAGCACGGCAAAATTTGCGAGCGGCTTCTCGTTTGTATGCACACCGATTTCCAAATAGGCACATACCACATCACGAAACATTTAATTCAATTGTTTTACGTGCACGTGCCCAAGCTGGTATTGCAGTGAATGGAAACAATTTTGAACAGCTTTTATAAGCAAGTGAACTGTTAAACTGTATTATTTTATTATCTCGATTTCTGTAGGACTTTTATTACATTTTTTTTTGAGAAATCAACTTTTTTCGTAATAGTGCATGTGCGGCTTCACATGCGATCATTTTTACATACACTTTTTTCATGTTTTGCTCTTCTAAAACTATGATAGCTGGAGTCACGGTATGATAGATGTTTCATGTTTTTGAGGGCAACACTAGAATGAACCAAGGCAGAGTGTTTCAAACACGGAAGCTTCACCAGTTTTATTAACAGGATGCACCATAAGAGACAACCAAACAAACATTTAATTCGACCGACCTTCAACATTTTAGGGATTTACAAACAAAACCATATTCCTAAGTTTTCCATGACACAGGCATAGTTGTTATATTTTGTAGCAAACGTCTAGCAGGCCCATAGCATATAACGTATAATTGAAAAGATATGCAATTACGTTGACGTGAATGCACTGCCGGCGAAACTTCATCTTGTCCTCCTACCAAAGGCCCCCAAGACAGATTATACATTACGTCTCGCACAGGAAACCGCCCGAATACATAATATTTTAATAAGTTTTTATAAGAAACTGCAAATTACAACTTTGCGGTCGCATGAATGAGTAACGTGCAATTACCTCGAGCCTGGGAGAAAAAAGAAACGTGAGTATAGGATATGAGATAGAAGCTCTTCGTCTTCTTCAAACGCGATCGTATGATGGAATGCGCCTACGAATATATGTTTCTAAATATAAATAAAGGAAATGTGCGAGTTGTAACTAAGTGACATATAAATCCGAACACCCAGTTTAATTGGTTTTATTTTAATAAAATTTTGTATAAGTACTTAATGAAGCATAATAAGTAAATGATAAAAATTTCAAAATGATTGCGCTGCTTTAAAGCCCTTTGACCTTTAATAATGTGTTGATGCACCTTGATGTGCTACGCATTCTCCAACGCGCCTAGGCATGCTTCTGATCATGTGGTCAATGTCCTCCTGTGGTATCTCATTCCAGGCAACCACCAACTCCTCTCGAAGTGCTTCTAGAGTCTGAGGAGGACGTTGCAAATTGAGCAATCTCCTACTCATCATATCCCACACGTGCTCAATTGGGGATAAGTCGGGAGATCTTGGTGGCCATGGTAACAATGTGACATCATTATGTTGAAAGAAGTCTATTGGGACTCTTGCAACATGTGGTCGGGCATTATCTTGTTGGAAAGTTGGATCTGCCAGGGTGTCAAGATAGGGTAAAAGATGGGGTTCTAGAACTTCGTGGATATTACGCTGCGCGTTCATGTTACCTACCTCTGATGAAGATTAAAGGTGACCTGGAACCATAAGCTACAGCACTCCAAACCATAACTCCAACAGTGTGATGAACATGTCTTTCAACAAAAAACTGTGGATTCCTCCTTTCACCACGTCGCCTTCTAACCCTTACACCGACGTAATCGCCAGTGGTGCAGACAACGGTCACTCTGGGATCAGGAATGGAACAGTATTATCTTTAGTGACGAGTCTCGATTTTGTTTAGGCATGCACGATGGTCGTGCCAGGGTTAGAAGGCGACGTGGTGAAAGGAGGAATCCACAGTTTTTTATTGAAAGACATGTTCATCACACTGTTGGAGTTATGGTTTGGGGTGCTATAGCTTATGGTTCCAGGTCACCTTTAATCTTCATCAGAGGTAACACGTTACATCCACGAAGTTCTAGAACCCCATCTTTTACCCTATCTTGACACCCTGGCAGATCCAACTTTCTTATCCCCAATTGAGCACGTGTGGGATATGATGGGTAGGAGATTGCTCAATTTGCAACGTCCTCCTCAGACTCTAGAAGCACTTCGAGAGGAGTTGGTGGTTGCCTGGAATGAGATACCACAGGAGGACATTGACCACCTGATCAGAAGCATGCCTAGGCGCGTTGGTGAATGCGTAGCACATCAGGGTGCATCGACACATTATTAAAGGTCAAAGGGCTTTAAAGGAGTGCAATCAATTTGAAATTTTTATCATTTACTTATTATGCTTCATTAAGTACTCATACAAAGTTTTATTAAAATAAAACCATTTAAACTGGGTGTTCGGATTTATGTTTCACTTAGTATAATAATAAGGAGGGGTATTTGCAGTGCAGGCGCTGTATGAGAAGTGTTATTCGCGAAATTGACATGCGCAGAATTAATTCTCTCGGAAATTATGAAAACATGCAAACGAATTTTGAGAAACAAGAAATGAGAGAGCGACGCAGAACAAATGCGCTTTTGTGATTCAATAACAAATGATAAGAAAAAAACTTTGCCACCTTATTCTTATATTAGAAGTTTCTTTCTTACAAGACAGGCATCATGGTGTTCTTGAGGTGTCTGTGTAATATCACTCGCATTTTGGGGGCAAAAAAGATGCAGATACAGCGTAAGTAAGGTGGGCTTACTATGGAGGGCCACGCTAACAAACAGAGTTATTATAGTTATACAAATGATACAAAAAAAGTTATTAAGTAAAATTTTGCTCTATTATGTAACTTATAAAATATATTTATTTATAGTAGCGTTAATCATTATTTATTTTGTTCAAGTTTTATAAACCTATTTCGAAGGGCCTTACGAGGACAAGCCT